AATAAAAATTTCTTTCCGACGATAAAAGGTTCCTTTCGATTTATCAGTGTGTAGATATTCACTGGCTGTTATAGTAGTGGATTGCACAAAATATCGATCTCCCAATATCAGGAAGTTGTAATAATTTTTTATAAAGTATCCTGCATATCCTTTGTATGTGCTGAGAATCGTAAATTTATCAGAGAATTTCCAAACTCTTTGCTACAAACGTATGTGTGACGAAACAAATCTATACATATAAGCGAGAAACAAAATTATGTACCTCAGTGACTTATTAAGGAGATACTTTTTAAAGAAGGACAAGGAGAATTGTTAAAAAAAAACAGGCACTGTTTTTATACCATTCGTTTAATTTATCGATTGCTATCAATCGAGCATACTTCATTACAGAAAATAAAATTAGATTTTTGATTTTCAATGGTGGTTATATGTACGTGATTCGTGCAACTATAACAGTGTATATTTTTTTTCTTTGGTTGAAATTAAAAAAAAAAAAAAATGGTTAGGGGAAACAAATGCAACATTCAAAATAAACTATATATTGACGAATACTTTCTTTTCAAATGCAGTTTTCATGTGCAGTTTGCAGTTGCTTTATTTTTTTAAATGGAAATGAATTTTCTTTTGTGTGTGTGTGTAGAATTTTTTCGTCATTCTATGTAAAAAAATATGATGGTTTAAAAGATATTTTAATTTTAATTTACAAAGCTTAATTATTTTGTGAAAAACAAGGAAATACAAAATATATTATTTTCAAATTTATTCTCCTTGTCTTTCATACATATTTTTAAATCCACTAGTTTAATCTAGTCTTTTAATCAATAAATTTAACCGTTTTAAATTTTAATTAATAAAGATTTTAATATCTTTTTTTACATACAATGATGAGAGAATTTGATACATATAAAAAAAAGGAAGGATTTTCATTTCGAAAAATAGCGCAATTGTATTATTGTATTTGCAAAAAAGATATAACCATATAACCGTAAATAGTTCACTGAGAACCATTTTATTGTAATATTTTTTCCCAAATTCAACAATGAGAAAGATACGACCTCATAAATGCTTGGACGTATTAAGTTGAGAATAAATATTAGGTCATTTCACAAAAGAGAAGTCGCTGTGAGTTTAAGTATTTCATAAAAGTGAATTAGAAAATTTAATAGAACAATACAAGCAAACATTTGTGAAGTCTTGTAATTATCAGAAATTATAACTGAAATATGCACGAGGTTTCAATTGATATTTTTCAATTGATATACAGTTTGATAAGTTTCACGTTTATAAGGCAATCAATGTTTGATAGCCACGTCAAAAGGAATGTCGAATGTTAAAGAGAGTCGTCTCCTTAATTTGGTCACTCTATTTACTAAACTTTCTACATTGTGTATAGAGTGTGTGCATATCGTATGTAATTAATGATCTTAAAGTGTTATGAATCTCTGGCTAATTTCCTTGGAAAATCATTAGGAATCGCACCCTGAAATTTTCTAGCACCAATCAAATTTATTGTTATCATTATAAACTGCTATCGCTATAAACTTACTATTACGAAAAACTCAAGATCAGTTTATCAAATTAATTTATGTTATTGTTCGACTTATTACAGTTTATATTTGAACGAAACTTCAAAAGAATTATAACTACAAATAATAATTCTTTTCTTAGAGATTAATACAGACAATAATTCTTTTCTTAGAAGTTAAATTAGAGAAATTATTTTCTCAGAAGTTTCGGAAATTATTTTTTTTCTGCATTCGCTATTTTATTTCATTATTTAATTATCAGAAGGACAGTTGTAAAATTCGATTTATTTCTTATTATTCCAGTAATATAAATTCCATTAAAGACAGACTGCAATTAGCTAAAGATTTTTCTTCATCTACATATTATAACAGCAAAATTGTTTTAACATTTGTTTCTGTTTTATTTTGCTTATTTTGTATTTAAAATTGAGAATTTAGAGTTTCGAAGGAGAGCTCTGTAACGAATAAATGTATTATATTTATTTAAAATGAAAAAAAAATGTATCACATGTGTAAAAATTGCGTAAGAAGACTGTAACGTAGTTTCAGGCACGTACTTCCCAAATATTTATATTCATATTTTAATCAATATATTAATATTTCAAGCTGTTAATTACTACTAATTACTCTTTGTCACTGTCGATGATTAACGATTATTTGAATTGTCTCACAAATCATGTTATATATTAACATTAATGGAAAAACTACATTTTACATTATTATACATTTTTACTAAGGGTTCTATAGTAATGTCCGCGAGGCGATATGTTTAACAAAATTTAGGAGACAATCGAATATTATGTTTTTCATCTCAATTTTTGTGCAATTTTTACAAACGACATTGTTCAGTATTCGATAAAGATATCTCGATTAAACAAGAATGATATCAACAAACGAGCTGCAATAGCTACATGCTCGAAGCGCTTTCTTATTACGTTGTTATTTTAATTAACAAACATATTTTTTATGTTTTCTCTTTAAACATCTTATCAATTATTATATTTACAGAATCATTTTTATTAGTTCAGTGACATTTTTATTACGCATTTATTTTCGCATTGAGTTTCGTAATTTATTTTCGAGTGCTTGTAAATAATGTATATTGTTGAATCATTTTCCTCATTAAAAATTCATCTCATGAAAGAAGTTTACAACTGTTGCTAATGAACAAATAAAGTTTTTGAAATCAGTGAAGTGATTATTAAATTTCATAGCAATCTATAGGACCTGTTGCTCAAGTACCATTATTTTATCACGAGAGACATCAAGATTTTCAAAGAAATCTGTACAGCCATCTTTGAAAACTGCAGAAAAATACAATAACAGCAATTAACGAGCAATTAACGTTCTGTTTGTCAATAAATGTATAGAACGGTGTGTTATACGTTATATAAATATGTTGCGTGTAATTAAATATAACGAATTAATTATTTAAAATATTTTGCACGATTGTACGAAAGAAACATCATTTCCTATATTAGAAATCAATTTTGTAAAATTTCACCGATAGAATATTGATATGAATAGCGAACGTTCATTTTCTCTGCGTCGCTTTTTCATTATCTTTTCGAACGTAACCGACTGATTTATTAAAGATTTCGTGAAAAAACAAACTCAAATGCTCGTCCACGATGGATCGATTGACGATATTGTGGAAAACGTAACCGGAAGAGGATGAACTTTTGTTTTTTCAACGTTCTCGAGCCAATGAATACGCAGATACTTAGTACACGTGCAATTCCGTACAAAGAAAACAAGAAAATAGAGAGAAAGAGAGAAAGAACAGAAGAGAGCGAAAGAGAGAGAGAGAGAGAGAGAGAGAAAGTGAAATATTTCAAGCGTTTTCAAAGAAATAAGGCACAAAGAAAAAAAAAAATGAGAATAAAAAACTCATAAGTGACACAATAGTGCTGTAGCTGAGAAGAAAAAGACGGTTATAGTTTCTATTTTGAAGATTATATTTTTTTAACTTTATTAATTTTTGACTTCCACATACATATATTTATATATATACATGTAATTGTATATACATATTCGCATACTTATTATACACATATAAATATAAATAAACAAATAAATATATATATATATATTAATTATAAATATTAAGTGGATAATTAACTATTGTATATATACACATACAACATACGTACATGTATTTGGAAACAAGACCGTGTAACGCATGAAATCCTGAATGTTCTTACATAATAATATATAGCGTAATACAATTAAGCATATCGCGAACATCGTTTGTACAATTGCATTGCAGTTTGAGATGGCAATCGCGATGATGATGTTGAAATATCAATTTATCTATTGTGCGACATATCTTTACATGTTGCTAATAAATATGATTCGTAATTCTTGAAGCGTGCTTTCCAAAACGAATTTTTCACACAAGATAAACGGTTGTGGAGCTTCCTGAAAAAAAAGCGACCGTTTTTTGCAGCATATAGTCTC